GTGTGTGTGTGTGTGTGTGTGTGTGTGTGTGTGTGTGTGTGTGTGTGTGTGTGTGTGTGTGTGTGTGTGTGGTGGGGTCCTTTGAACCGTAAAAATGAAACTTGAGGTCAAGGGGTCAATGGTAAAGATATAACTCTTGTAAGACCTTTTTGACTGGGGACAGGGATGTGAGTGTGAGCGTGTGTGTGTGTGTGTGTGTGCAGGTATAAGACACAGTACATGACAGGCATCATCAACAGGAGATTCACTTCTTAATCACAGCTCATGGCTGCCTCTGCGCCTCATAATGATGATAAATGGTCAAACTGTTGCCTCCGGTGTTGGAACAAGAGGAGCTGTTCAGCCAAGCACAATGGTTTCAGATTAAGAGCCAGCAGGCGCCGTGACATTTGCCATAACGCTGTAAAATGTCACTGAAGTGGAAAAACTACCAAATTACTAAAACTGTTGCGGTGAAATTAATCATTCGTCTTTCCACCTTTGCCCTTCTAACAGCACATCCTCCCTGTGTGGTCACTTCCATGTCCTTCCTTTACTTTCTACCAATCCTTCCTCTTCTGTTTCCTCTGACCTCCAAACCACACCTCCTTTATTTCTGTCACCCAAAGTCATCTCTCTCTCTTTTTCCATTCACTTCTCTATTTCCCCTCTCTCTCCTTGCATTACAACATCCACCTTTCTTGCTCTTTTCCGTTTAGTCCCCTATTCAATCTTGATCCCTTTCCTTTTCAAGCCTCCTTCTTGTTCCTACTCTCCTCCTTCGTCTGTCTCCTGTGTTCCCTCTCTGGGTGGGCCCAGTGCAGAGTGATCCCATTGTTGTGTTTCTCTCCCTCTCTCTCTTTCTCTCTCACTCTCAGGGGCAGCACTTCAGGGACCTGCTGATTGGATTAGAGCTTTCTATTCCCTCTGGGTGGATCACGGAGCACAGATGCAAATCGCCCCCAGCGTGGAAAGCGTACCGTGGTTAACTCAAGACAACAATGCTGTCTGTCTGCGAGTTGAGTCGTGTGATGTACTGCGGACGATGTGTCTGTCTCTCACAATGATGTTGAGAGTTTAGAGATGAGAGGTTAGAACAGCATTAGAACCAAAACCAACAAATTTGGATACAAGAGGTATTTAATTTTCTGCCAAGGTGGCAAAAAATATACCCAACTAAATTTGCCTTTATTTTCCTGCATAAAACAAACACACTTGGCACATGGGGACAGTGACAGATGTTTTGAGCCGGGGCCAAGTGAAAGACCTTGATGCACATAAATACATACAGTTATAATTAAAGTGTAAGGGGTTTAAGCCCTAATCTGCAGCAAGCGTTAATCTGCAGTTAGTTGTTCAACGAGCACACACACGCACAATCGCACAAAGCAAGACTGAGTGACAGATAACTCACAGGGAATAGAGATAGTTACAGTGCAATGAGCAGAGAGCAAGAATCATTAGTTTATCAACAGGACATTAATCAGAAACTACTGAGAAATCAGGGAACAAAAAAGACTCAAATACTTACTGACATTTTTCATCTGATTCTATAAACCAACTTGAATGGCACTCAGGAGAGGCCATATCTCCACCAAGGCCCAACAGTTCCCATATAAAACCACATTTAATTTAAATTCCCTAGATCCATATTTTATTTGTATCAGATAAATATCAGACCCCTAAAAAAAGCCTATTCTTGGATGATGAAAAAGGCCCTACCTCACAATGTTAAAGAAAAAATATCTGGATCTGCCCCCTGATCTGGATCTGGACCTAAATAGAATGGATTCTTCTGTGGGTCATGCCCTGCCCCTCTTCAAAATGTCAAGGAGTAGT